GACATGACTAAAAGGGCAGATTCTAAATGACTCAGGCTGCTGTTGTAAACAGTACCCAAAGCCAGGTCCTCCTGCAGATAAACCTACTGCTAAATCACTACTGTATGCAAACCAGGTGATACAGAAAGGCCACCATCCTCCCCCCACCCCAAACCACAGTAGGGAGGGAAACATCATTTTGAAGTTATTTTGAGAGATTAGTTATCGGAACCAGAGGCCGCTTGAAAGCTGGCCTGGCAACTGCTGCTTGTTTTGTTTCGTTTTAAGACAGAGAATAGACTTCCATTCCTCTCGATAGCTATATATTCTGATATAGCCAACAGTTTCTTCGATGTCTACATCATTAACATTAACATTCCTTTACCTTTGGAATTTATGTACCAATTACTTGCTGGTACATACTCATGTCAGAATCAGCCCAAGATTTTCACATTAGGTTTGAAAGTATACCTAGACAGTAACTTTAGCTCTGGCCCCATCTGGTGATGTACACATGAACTTGTTTTGGACAGAAAAGTGCCCCAGTTCTTCACACCAACTATCATTATGTACCAGAGAAAGTCTTCAATTTATCTTGCCTATTCCTAACAAAATCATTATTTCCAATTCACTTCTGTTAGCATGCATTTTTACATGTCAGATACTGTATTGAAGTCTTTAGGAGCTAAATTGCAGAGAAGAATATAGACACCCTTGTTTCTGCAGAGACCTCTCCAACGTAGAGCCCTCAAAGTATGTTGGATTAATTCTCAACATCTTGCAACTTAGCCAACGGCTAAGCCAACGGCTTTTGTTTTGTTGGGAACCCTTGACTGAGGGTGCAAGATTGTACAGTAGGGTCTGACAACTGTTCATAGATGGTAGTTCCTTGATCAAGGTATTGTGTACTGCTTGATTGTTTGTCTGGTGTTAATCCCTGCTTATCTGGGTGTTGATTGCTGATTTGTCTGAATGCCAAGCTTCCAGGAATTCCCTCATATTTTTGGATTTAGCTTTGTCTGAGATGTTCATAGTTTCCCAGTTGAAACTATAGTTAAGTCTGTCCATGTTTTGTGAAATTAAGGAGTTTTCATCGTGTCTTCTGACTGCTAGTTGGTGTTCATGGATGCACTCTGCTAGTCTTCTGTATTCAGACAAGTCAGCCATCAACAGGCACATAGAGATAAACAAAACTTACACCCTATTAAAAAAAAGACAATAAAAAGGAAACAATAAGACCAAAACACCTCCTTGCTAGACAAACAATCAAGCAGTAAACAACAGCCTAACCTAGGAACTACCAAAGAAAAAACAACTCCCCCACCAATGCTGACAGGGCAAGCTACTGTATATAAACAGAGAGCAACCCCACTCCCTTCTAGCACTGAAGATATTACCTAGCGGGTAATTAAATGTCTGCAAGAAAACAACCAAGCTCAGAGAACCCCAAGGACTTCACAGTTCTTTTTAAACCTTCTATAAACCAGGACTTCTGTACATCTGATTCATTTCCCCTTTTGTTTCAAACTAATCATAGTTTTATAACTGTAGCCCTACCATTTTAGTAACTACCCTGAGAGCTTTAATAGCATGGCACCTTCAGGAAGGTTTCCAGCTTCCTGTAACACTTTATAGGTTAGCTGCACCAGTCATCAATACAGACTCCTGCCACAGCCAATCACAGAAATATAAAAGCTACACATGCTTATTCTCCAGCCATTCACTATAGTTAAGACAATGAGTGACACTCAAGGGATTGGCGATATCCGAATTGTGTATGTCTAGATGTCTGTAACACCTAGAAAGCATCCATGTACCCCAACACTGTTTTTAATAAATAAATAAAATTCATCAGTGTCAAGGTATTTTGTGGGATTCCTGAAATTTTCTAAGATTTTGAGCCAGTTGAGGGTGGGAGTTGGGCCATTGTACAAGATTATGCAATTGTAGCCAAAAAAGAAAACCCTTTTATGATATACACTGGATAGTTTATACATCCTTCTTGGCTACCTCAAAATCATTCACTTGGAAGCGTACTTTATTTGAAAATACCTCAGATAACCCCAAATTTTGCTTTTTGTTTGGAAAGTGAAGGTCAGGAGCGTTCCAACTTGCTCCAAGATTTACACATGTGCTTAACTCAGCTAGGTGTTTCCTGTTCTCTTTGAGGCATTGTCAGTTGCAGCTTTTGCTTGTAAAGCTAAGTCTTTCACAAGCTAACTCTAAATTTATATTCCTGATCCCTCTCTTCAGTTACCACTTGTCTTTTAGATCAAGAAGACCCAGGTGAAAGACAGTTTGTGATACTATTGAGGGCTGCAGCGATACAGGGCAATTAAAGCGACATTAGGTCACTTGGACCCTTCAGGGAATGTAAGCATCTCAATCACTTAAAACCTGGCTAGTTCAGTGAGGTTTTTCTCTCTCACACCTTTAAGATAGCTAGGAATGCTTCTTTGGGTGTAACTACTATTGGTCCTTCAAAATTCCCTCCGTCCCTCCCTCCTTCCTCCTCTTCCTCCTCCTCCTTATTATTATCATTACATTACATTACATTACATTACATTACGCAAAATATACACAGATTCAAGAGTATTAACAATATACTTTGGCATCCTAATCATGAAAGGGGAAAAAAGGCCTAAGTAAATTTATACTGTAAATAGAACAACTTCCCCAAATTTGATCTCCATTGTGAAAAGTTTTCTTCCTTATCCTTGGCTGAAAATAAACTAATTCAAATGTTGGCAAACAACGTGCACTGACAGCTTTTGCTGCAGATCAGTTTGTGCAGTGATTCTTTCAGCCAGTCCCTATGTCTGAAAAATTCTGTTTAGAGGCAGCTGCAGGACTGCAGGCTTTTCCCAAAATGATGGAAGGATGTTATGATGCAACCTTCCTTCAATCTCTGGACTGTGAAAGCTTTTCTTCAAGTCCCTCCTTAATAGTTCTCTCCTACCTGCCCCAATGATTTTGCACCTCATGACACACATTGGGTCACTAGCCTCCTTGCTCCCCACCAAATGAGTCCAATAGGTTTTGATGTTAAAAGCTGATTCATAAAAGAACATATACTTCCACAATTAAGTTGTTAGAAATCCTAAATTCTTGACTTCCTGTTGATTCATCATCAGATATCAACCAAAAGTGATTTTTTTAAAAGCTTTGATAGAACTGGAAGAATTTTGGTCATTGTATCCTCTTAAGGAATATGACAATTACTGTATTTTACAGAAATAAGTGGAAGTATTTCTGATAGGTAGCTTGCTTGTAACTATTTTAATTCTTTGTAGAATAAACTGACTGTTACATGTTTATTTACCAAAGGAATCAAGCCTGTCAATTTCCACTGAATAGGTTCAAGGGTCTTTATACATATCCAAGAGCACTTTTTCTTAAAGAGGAAATGTCTGGTTCCTTGGATGAGAGATCTTCTGGAAATGTCAGGGCTGTAGACTAGACTGGGAAGCTGAAGATGGAGTATGTTCTATGGTGTTGCAGAACTTTGTTCTTTCCATATAGACATCCAGATGAAAGTCAACTCAAGGGAATCTCTACCTTTTTATCCTATTTTTGTGGACAATTGTTTATGAGTATGATGTAGCACAAAGGTAGGGCTAGCTAGTAAAGCTGGAAATTCAATAAATCAGATATAACAGTCTTCCATTTCTGGTATGAGATTTATTTATTTGCATTTTGTATGAAAATGAAATATTTCCAAAAAATGTCAAATCACAAAAGAACTCTTTTCCACTCTTTCTCCACCTTGGAGTTTTCTTTGTATAGAGAATCAAGAGAGAAAACACATACATACACACACAGCATGTCTCTCTGCCTCTTCAAATGGTTATTAAACATTTCAGAAGGTCAGGAATTGGTCTGCTTTGGAGGACTTCCACTTAACATTTGAGAAGTCACAATGAAGTTGCTTTGTTACTGGATCAGAGAAATCCCTTGTAATCATATGTGAGCTATTTTTACAAAACTATGAAGAATCAAAAAGTAAAGATGCTGGAGGCAGGGTTTGAAAGCACAATAGACATCTAATGTCTTGCATTCAGACTCCATCGTTTTCTATCCATATTCCATCTGAGTCTGTCTGGACTACAAAAGGTATAACCGCTGATCCTTTGCAAATACTACTAGTCACATGGTAAAAATGTCAGGCAACTTTATTTATATCCCACATTTACTCTGATGGCTCAAGGTGGTTTACATGGAGGTCTCCCCTTATTTTATCCCCAATACAATCCTAATAGGTAGGTTGCATAGAGAGAATGCAAATTTGAATCTTGTCCTCCATGGCCCAAATCAGCACCTTAGCTACTAAACTGCATTCTGCAGCACATCATTTATTTTTACTGAGGAATGATTTGAGCTAGCCCTTAATTCTAAAAATAGAGAAAATATGAAAACACTCCAAAATCAATGTTCATCAGTGTATATTATATGAAAAGAAATAGTGTATATACACACAGAGCTTCACATACTTCCCTACCCCTTTGTGTCCTTTAACATCTATTTTTCTTAAGAAACTATATGGCTTATGATGTGAATGCCAGCCTGCTTGCCAGTCTGGGAATATACATCTCCCCCATCTCAAGCAGCATCTTCATGGGGGAAAGATGCTGTCCCTGTTACATAGGCAGATTTCCCCAGCCCTTCCCCCCAAGTAAAAAAAAAAAAGCTTTTTTCTCATAACAAAATAAGGAAAAAAGGTAGAATTCCAGAGTACTAGCTTAATTGGTCCTCTATCAGGCACCAGAGGGAATGCAGGAATTTGACAAGTATACAGTATATTTTCCCACTTGCTGATTTCTACAAAGGATTTTTAAAACTGTCAGAGAGCCTCTTCTGGCATTGTGGAAAACAGAGAAAAGCTGTCAATAGTGTTTTCATATGGACATTTCACTCTCTGTATTTTCGGAGGAGGATCTATAACAAGATTTGGGGGAGTTCTTTCCCACCTATTTGTGTAAATGCCTGATGTCTTCCACTCAGATAGGCTGGTTTATTTTAAGTTCCTACAGGCACAAGAGTCATCGTTCTGGTATGCTGACAGGTCTTTGGGAATACATGAAAATGAAGTTCCAAGGCAGCTGTGGCACACAAGAATACAGTGAAGGTGGTGGACTGCTGACATTTCCTAGAAACATTGAGCTGAATCCAGATAAGAGACAACACCGTAATTCTACTGGTTTTGTTTTTAAAAAGAAATAATATACTTTGTCCTTGCCTTTGAATACCCTCTGGCTGTTGCAAGCCTGTTTAAAGATGGGAATATCCAGGGGGACAAAAAGGGTAATTGAATCAAAAGGGAATTTTCAAAGTTCTATACATTTTGAGGAAATAGGTAAATGTTTTACTTAGAAACTGCACTGTATTTAGGTTTTATGTGATGCAATCATTTAAATGTGCTCTGCACAATTTAAGGGAATCAGGTTTTCTGCCACCCTGAACCAAACCTCTGAGTGTGCTTTATTTATTAAGAATCTTCAGAAAATCTGTACTATTTTGAATCTCATTCTAGTCTCTTTCTAGTTACCTTTTTTCCTTTTATTTGTAGTGGGCAATGGCATCTTGTGGTCCACTAGGATTCTTATTATTTCTTTCTATAATGTTTTGCTTGATCTATCTCGTTTCATTTACTAGCAGTTCTATTTCTGGACTGGGACAGCTCTGTAATTTATCTTTTCCAACACTGATTATTTGCAGTTTAATATTTAGAGTTTATCTACTTTTTTTTCCTAATAAAGTTTATTGTTCTTCCTCTGTGAGATTGGTTTAACTCTCAAAAAGTGGTGGTGGTAAATTCTCCAGTCATACGCCTAAATGCTATATGGCCAGAAGGTGGTGCTGTAGAACTTTCCCCTTCTTTTCATATTAATCAACAGAAAGGCAGCACAGCTTATGGGAGTTCTCCCACAACCTAGAGTTACAGAGAGGATGCCACATGAAGTGCCCTTGGAAGATAGATGATAGCAGAACTGCCAAGCTGCTACCCCAAAGCAGGAAGCATAATCAGGTGTGAAAACTCAGAGGGCTTCTGGGAAAGGAGGTCTGACACCTTCAGCTGATGGGTTTAGCTGCTCCACTGCAACTTCAATTAGACTTTCAAATATATATAATCATTATGCAAGTGTCATGGTCCTGCAGAGTTTCCAGCCTTCTGAGATGTGTGCTTCTCTGACCTGGAATTCTGAATTTGAAAGAGACCAAGGGATTGATTGAAAGGCTGTTGTGGACCAAGAGGAAAAGGTTTTAAATCCAGAGTATCCAAAGTTTATGACTTTCCCACTCCACACATACACAGAGAGAAGGAAATACACAACAGCCCTAGAACTAGCAGACAGACAGAAAGAAATCATTTAAAATAAACAGGAAGAAAGGAAAACATTAATCCTTCCCTTTTGTGAACTTGGATATGATAGAATTCTTAGCTGCAATCTTATACCTATTTAGCTTGATGTACATTCCACTGAATTGCTGAGTAGATACACATCTGGTTTTAGCATATTTATTTAGAAGTTTGTTTAATAATATTTATAAGCCACCCCAAACTGACAGACTCTGGGCACTGTACAGGAGCAAGCATAACACCACCCTGATAAATAAAACAATCTAATTATATATGTGTATAATATAGGGCCAATCATATCGGGGAAGGGAACATGTTTCAGAATGTGAGGGTTGCTATCAATAAGTCCTGTCTTGTTGTCCAGACTCTACTGATTTCTCATGGCAGAGTCCGCAGCAGGCAGCCTTGACTGAAAACAGGCCAGATCTTCTGTTTCAATCAGGATCATCTGTAGTTAAATCCCCACCCACCTTCTTTCTCACTATCATCTTAACCTCTGATAGTTTTTCTCATAGTCCCATTGATTCTGTTCTGCTGACCTTCCCTGGAGCACTGCAACCACATAATCAGTCAATCAACCTCTGTTGCAACAACAGTTTTTGACAGCCAGTGCCCCCAGAATTGTGCAACTCATTAATACAATATAATACAATAATTCAATAATACAATCCTTCCCTTATATATTCAATATTCAACATACATATTCAGAGCCAGTTTGGTGTACAGATAGTCCTTGACTTACAACGTAGTCGTAAAGTGTGACATCATTTAGCGATGGCAATCCCTGCAGTCCCAGTTGCCGTCATTAACTGAATCCCACAGTCGTTAGGCAAGACAACTTCCTGCCAGCAACCAAAGTCAGTGGGGAAGCTGGCAGGAAGTTGCAAGTCCCAGGCCAGCAGGCAGATAAGTAACTGCTGCCAGGTGGGGGAGGGAGTGAGGGGGTGTGCGGGAGATTCAGGGAGGGTGTGCAAGAGATGCCACACAAGTCAGGGAGGGTGTGCAGGTGGGTAGCTGGCATGTTACAAGCGCAGAGGGGTTGGGAAGGGTGTGCAGGTTGGGGAGACTTACCCCAATGATTTGCGACCTTCCCTGCCGGCTTCCCAGGGAAGCCAGCAGCGAAGATTGCAAATGGCGATCTTGTGATTGTGGGGTGCTTAGCAACTGGTCATAAGTGTGAATGGGTTGCAAAGCACCCATATCGCGATGACATGATCATGGGGGTGCTGGGATGGCTGTAACTCCGAGGACCAGTCATAACTACCATTGTTCAGCACCACTGTAACTTTGAATAGTTGCTGAACGAATGGTTCTAAGTCGAGGACTACCTGTAGTGTTTAAGGTGCTGGCCTAGAAACCAGGAGACTGTGAGTTTTGGCCTCCCTTAGGCATGAAAGTCAGCTGGATGACCTTGGGCCATTCAGTCTCTCTTAGCCCAATCCATCTCACAGGGTTGTTGCTGTGGGCAAAATAGGAGGCAGTATTAAGTATGTTCACTGCCTTGAGTTATAAATAAAACAACAACAATAAACCTCTCAGAGGGAAGTTTTCCTAGGGCTAAGAGTCCAAACTTCCCTCTGACCCTTCCTTCCACCCACATCTCAAATATACTTTTTGCTGCAGTCCTCCCCCACAGAAGCTGGACTTTAAACTGAAAAGTTATCCTTGGTTACCATCTTTGTGTGCCAGCAATAATACCCAATCTTCACACTTACTAAACCAATATATACATTTGTGTGACCCACTCATAAGTAACACCAATGATTAGGTTGGGAAAGAAAGAATATGCCACTTTTAATAATTCCATTTTAATCTCTATATCAAATAAAACAAAAACAAAGCCCTACCATTTTATAAAACAAAACAGTTTAAGTAGAAACAAGGAAAACAAAACACCAAATGGAAAACCTTATTCTTCATGGAAAGGATGAACTTCTCTTGGGTTATGGCCCAAAGACAAAATACTGTTCTTATAGTTTTTTTTTTTAAATATAGATATACGTGAGGACACCACTGACACAATGTTAAAAATGTATTTATTCAGATAAGCACATGACTTGAGGCCAATGTACCTCACACAGATTTGTAGTGGGGAGAAATAGAAGGGAGCATTATGTGGGCCATCTTGAGCTCCTGAAAGAAGGGGGGGGGAGGATATAATTCCAATAAATAAATTTCTCGAAAGTGTGCTTGCTCTGGGCGGGGAGAGCCCTTCTGATTGCCAATCCCCGACCACCTCGTTCCAAAAATGAGCAGCCATTTTCAAACTCTTCAGAAATACCTTCCTGAATCATCTCTTTCCTTCCCGCACCTCAGCGCCATTAGCACAGCAGCCTCTTTGACCGCAAGAAACGCATCGACGGGTTTTAGCTCTACGGCCGAGAGACTCCAGCAGGCTGCCCGCCTTTGTGCTAAGCAAGGGTTGCGCAAGGCCAGCCTCCTCCAAGCAGCTCCACGTGGAGCCCTGAAAAGTCGCGGCTATTCCCACGTGGCGGTAGCGGCGGCGGCTCAGGGCGGGATTCGAACCGGCGCCCTGCCACATCCGCGACGCTCCCTAAGGAGAAGCGTGGCCCCGCCTCCCAGCAGCTCCACTGACAAGCCCCGCCCGTCAACGTAATTCTAAGACACGTCAGCAAAGACCTGAGGACCCGGAAGTTTTATTAACTTGACCAAAGGGTTTTTTCCATACATCTCTGTATACATTATACAGAGCTCCCTCCCCTGTATAAATAGCTTTTTCCATATTTGTTGCTTTTTCGATAACAAAAGCTGCGCTTTTTAGGCAAAAAAAAAAAAAAAAAAAGCCTGTGAAGAAGAAAGGCTATAAAATTATCCGCCGACAAGGCGTGACATCGGAAGTACTCGCCGGCGGGCGGCTGTCGACCGGAAGAAGCCCCGCCTCCCCGTCGTGTGCGGCGTGTCTGGCAGTTGGGGAGTACGGTGGCTGCGGGGGGTCACCCCGTTCTGTCTCTGCGTTGTTTCGGGAAGGTGAGCGGCGGTGATGGCTCCCAAGGGCGGCAGTGGCGGGGCTCGGCAGCAGTCGGAAGAGGAGCTGCTCCTGCAGGATTTCAGCCGCAACCTCTCGGCCAAATCCTCGGCGCTGTTCTTCGGCAACGCGTTCATCGTCTCGGCTATTCCGATATGTGAGTGAGGGGAAGGAAGAATGGCGATGGGCCCCCCCTTCCCCTCTCCCTCTCCCTTCCTGGCGAGGTTGGCCGTGCTTCTCAGCCGCCCGCCAACAGGCAGACATTCAGTAGGAGATGACGCCTCTTGTGCCGGTGTAGCGACGTGGAGACGACTGCACCGGTGCCATTTCTGCCCGTCCCATATCTGGGAAAGCCAGAAGAGCCTCGCGTGGGGAAGTATCCCCTAGCCCAGCTGTTCCCAAGCTGGTCTCTGGGTGTGTTGGAGCTCCAACTCTCAACATTTCCAGACAGCTTGAATTGGGAGAAAAGTTGCCCTCGGGGGTCCTCCCCCCCCCCAAAAAAAAGCTAAGGGAAACTTGCACCTTTCCTGTTTTAGATGCTTTTTGGCGTATGAAGCTCTAAGCTCTTGCAACTTCTGCTCCTTGAATGTTAATAATGAAGGGTCAGGAAATTAGCCCGCATTGGCTGGATTGGTGTGATTGAAAGGAGACGTTTGTGCTTTGCTTTAGAATCAAAGGTAGCCTAATGAAAGTACGTTTGTAGCGTGTGCCATTATTACCCTATTATTATATTATTTAGAAGCCAAAAAAAAAGGCAAAGGCAAATGACTGTTTATAAGGAAAACTGCACTGAATTCTTGACCTGACTTCAAGAATGTCTTTATCTTCCTTTGTGTATTGTTTATAAAGATATGTTCAGGCAAATCATGTGTATATGCTACTTGGCAGTGTTTTTCCCTAGCCAATCTGAAAGCTTGTAGTGATTGAAGTTGTGTGGGAGATGGTATTTATAAAATGAATAAATCTACATGTGTTCCTTATTTGAAGGCATTTGCTTATATTGGGATGCATATGGCTTGGAAGTCTTCTTTCTTCCAGCAGCTGTGTGTAAAGTGGAATAAATTCTGTCTTGAAGCAGAAGTCATGTAGCATGATGGGATCTTTCAGAGATAGTGTATTCCCTATTATGTCTGTAATGTGAATAGAAAGCTTTAGATCATGTTACTTCTGGTTTTGTAGGCCAATAGCCGCAATAATTCATGGTCATTGGCCAACAGCATTTGGATTTTCAGCCTGCTTTAGGTGAGATGCTGTTATGAATACCGTAAAATATGGGAAGTAATTATTCAGTTTAGTAGTGTTTGAGAATAATACATTGGAAACATGGAAACATTTTTGTTCCATTAAGTATTATAGGGTTGGTGGATAGTATTTCATGATTAACATTAAGTGGTGTGGGTTGATTTGAGCTTGGGAC